GCAGTTGAAAAAAAATGGGAAAACTCAGTAAAGTCAAAGGTTTGGGGGTGGTTAACCATCAAAAGCCTGTAAGAATTGTTACTGATCATTTCAATCATGAGAGACAAGAACAGAACCACACTGTTGATGGTCTTCCATAGATGACCACGCTCATGGTGGTCTTCCATCATGTGAAGAGTCCCAGCAAGGCAGGTCAATGAAGAAAGCTCTTTGTCCCTGTTTTTGGCAGCCACCTCCAAAGATGCTTCTCAACTGCTTCATATAAGCCATGGCAGCACAATGGTTAGAGTGCAGTACTGCAGGCTACTTCCGGCAGCCTGCAATTTGTCTGTTCGAATCCCACTAGGCTCAAGGCCTTCTATCCTTCCGAGGTGGGTAAAACGAGGACCCAAATTGTTGGGGGTATTATGCTGACTCTGTAAACCGCTTACAGAGGGTTGTAAAGCACTGTAAAGTGATATATAATTCTAAGGGCTATTGCTATATTCTAGAGGCAACCATGTTTGAGAAAGCAACCTCCTATCCCCAGCTCTGCCACACTGAGAAAGAACTGCCTTGGAATAGAACAATATACAGGATGGAATTGAGCAAGGCTGGCTAATGTGACACTCCTTGGCAACATTCTCAGGCATGTCCCTTGGCAGCAATCACATTCTTCACCCGTCTGACTTTAATTATTTAAAAAAGATTCAATTCTGTGAGAAGTTGGTGTGTTGCAAAGCAAAGTGCCAGTTTCTATAGATTGCTTTTGATGACCAAATAGGCCTCAGAAGCATTTCTTTAAAAAAAAAAAAATGAAACCAATCAACACCCCTAAATAGTTACATGGCAGCAGCCCAGTATTTTGTTCTTCAGGTAAGGACTCGCTGAAAAATGAGTGCCCTATGGATGAAATCATGATATAGAAGTAATACAATTTTATGATACATTATAAAAACAGTGCAAATAATGACATACAGGTCAACGTACGGACCACAAATGAGCCCCAAATGTCTACTAATGAGCAAGACACTTATTGAGTTCAGCCCCATTTTATGAACTTTCTTGCCACAGGTGTTAAGTGAATCACTGGAGTTGTTAACCTAGTAACATGGTTATTAAATAAATCTGGTTTTCCCATTGATTTTGCTTGTCAGGTCACAAAAGATGGTCACATGACCCCAGGACATTGCAGCCATCATACATACAAATACATGCCAGTTGCCAAGTGTCTGAATTTTGATCACATGACCACAGGATTGCTGCCATGGCCATGAGAAAAATTAGTCATAAGTCACTTTTTCTCCGTGCCGTTGTAATTTCAAATGGTCACTAAACAAATGGTTGTAAATCGAGGACAACCTGTACCACATTATAATGTATTGTTATTTTGCCTGCTGAAAAATAAATGTTTTGTGACTAATCATAGCAGGCCCTTTTAACAACCAATAGCTCCCTCTTTATTGAAGTACTCACTACTTATCCTCAAAATTTCAAATATGTCTACTCTCAATATAAAGATTCTCAAATACTATTCCTTAAACGGAATTGCGTCCTATACTTCTAAGTACAGCATCTTTTTCCTAAGACATTAAACCATTTATATCTTGGTATGTCCCTCTGTCTCAGTTGCTTTTAGAATAATCATCCCTAAATAATAGTTTTAAAATACCAATGGTATTTTTCTTTTAAGGCACAGTATAAGAGTAGTAAGTTTGCTATCAAATTCTTTTATTTCAAAACTTACATAGGTCCCACTCCACCATTATTTCTATTAATCTCATGAAACTTAGAACGCGCATCAAAACTAGTTTTTATAACAAAAAATCTTCAAAACATCAACTGCACACACACCTTCCTTTGGGACACAGTCCTTGATCTGCACCAGATGGGGTTCAGCAAAATCACACATGCTACAGAAATACCCATTATTTTGGGGGGATGGGGGACGGGGGGGACGGGGGAGACGGACTCATCTCAAATGTCTGAAGAGACATCCATGAGAAACAATAAAACAAAATAAAGCAGCAACTTAAAAAAAGAGATGAAAAATTAAAGCAGCAGGGCTGACATTTATAGCATTTGATAAAGTACATTGCAGGAATATATTACATTAAAAAAGACAGCCAAGAGAGCTCTTGTGTTAGAGAATGTAAATATGCCATAATTTGGTAAAATAAAACCAAGATTTTTCACATAGGCTCTTGATTAAATTAATAGGTCATAGTGATATCTCCTAAATATTAAAATTAATAAAAAATAGTTGGCAAAAAATTGATAAGGAACAATGGTGGTATTCGACTGGTTCTGCCTGGTTCTGGAGAGCCAGTAGCGGCAATGAGCAGTAGAGACCAAACCGGTTCTCTTTGCTGCTCTGTGTTTGGCCCACCCGCCCGCCTGGGCTCCCATACTCACTTTTATGGACAGAATTCAAAGTGCAGCTGCTTTGCGCAGCGCAGAATAGCGCCACATGGCAGCTGCTGCAGCGACCAGCATCGTGCAGGCTTGCAGGAGGCAAGTTAGAATGCCTCTGCGCCTGCGCAAAGTGCATGTTTGGTACGTGCGTGCACGCAAAGTGTGCTTGCGTGCAAAGCGCAGCCACCAAGCCACGCCCACCAAACCGGTGGCAACTTTATTTGAATACCACCACTGGTAAGGAACTACTTTCATAAGCTGATACTGAAAACATAACCATCAGAGTACTCTTTACACATAAGTGCAATATCTTAGTAAATTTGATAATGAAAGTTAGCTGCAAAGTGTCATTGAAGAATAGATCCAAAACGTAGTTAAGATTTTATAAGCAGTCAAAGGCAAGTACACATATTAACAAGCAGCTAGATTTTAATTCAAGCAAGGCCTTGATGTGAATGCTTAGAGAGAATGCACAAGAGACAGCCCTGCTCATGTCATCACCTCGACTGCAAGGAAAATGACATCAGAATGATGAACTTGCCTTTGGATTTTATTTTTCATTCCAAAAATTAAAAAGAACTGTATAACAGATAATCAGAGTTGGAAGGGATCTTGTAGATCATCTAGTCCAACCCCCCACCCAAGCGGGAGACCCTACACCATTTCTGACAAATGGCAGTCCAATCTCTTCTTGAAAGTCTCAAGTGATAGCGCTCCCATAACTTCCGAGGGCAAGCTGTTCCATTGGTTGATTGTTCTCACTGTCAGAAAGTTTCTCCTTATTTCCAGGTTAAATCTCTCCTTGCTCAGTTTCCATCCATTATTCCTTGTCTGGCCTACAGGTGTATTAGAAAATAGCTTGATCCCTTCCTCTCTGTGACAGCCCCTCAAATATTGGAAGACCACTATCATGTCTCCCCTGGTCCTTCTCTTTACTAGACTAGCCAAGCCCAGTTCCTGTGACCGTTCTTTGTATGCTTTAGTCTCCAGTCCCCTATATAACATTATGTGGGTTTTATGTGTGTGTGTGTTTAAAAATAACTGATGTTGATATACATGCTAACTCTTCAAATACATTTAAATAGGCATTGATAATGTCATTCAACTTGCCATGGTTAAAAAGTGCACCCTGGACTCATATCTGAAGCTTGAAGCAAACCCAAACTCCATCTTCCTACTTCGCCTCAGACTTACATTGGGATGCTAAAGCCACGAAGGTCTCTTCATCTGATTGTATGATTCTACATTCGGAACCACCAGTGGGCACACAGGCAAAATCAATGTACCCCTTCTGCCTTTCATTTCACAGCCAAGCTGAAAGTTTGCTTTTGTGCTGAACAGGCACTTTGAGTTCAACCCATTCATGGGGAATAGAGGCTAAACACAATGCCTGGCTATTTCATGTCCAATTTGAAGTCTTACCTGTTAACCCAAGGGCAGCCTCTACTTTCTCCCATTTCTTTGGAGCTGGAGAAAGAGAGAAAGAAGGCAAACATTCGCCCTTCTCTTATTCGAGGAAATAAGTATAGGATAGATGTCAAAGGCGGTGGGTGGGTATGTTCCTTGCCCATTATCCCAAATTCATTTCAGAGATGAAGCAGCTATGTTTCCAAATTTAGAAGAAATCCTGACTAAGGATTAGAAATCTTCATTATATAGCATGCAAAGGTATATAAGCCATGTTCAATATTGAATCACATATGTTTGTTTGTGTACATGTGTCTGTATGTATATGTGAACAGAAAAACAATTAGCATTAGTAGTAGTCTCACCAGTATACACCTGCAAATAAGAGCGATAGAAGCAGAATTTGTTATATAACTTATATAGCATGCATTACAGGACTGATTTTTTTAATGCACATAAAGTGAGAAAGAAATCCAAAGTTATGCGAGGAGATGTTCTGTGTAATTTTCTATTCTCCCTTAAATTTCTTATGTCCCCACATCTGTTCTAGAATCCCCCCCCCAATACTCCCAAAATACATTTGGAAGAAATGGTAGGGGAAGAAGAAAATAGGCCCTTTTGTATTTTTTTCAGCAGTGAAAGTGTTGGGCTGTTGAACAATTAACAAAATTAATTTCATAATGAAATAATTTCCAGGTGATGCAATCTAAATTGATGCATAGGAGCGGATATTTTGTTAGCCATGTTGCTAACTTATTTACGGTAGGTTTGGCAAAATATCAGTACATAATTATAATCTCATGCGGCATGATGTTGAAATCATTTTATCAAGAAACAGCAGATGAAAATATTCTGGAATTCATTTTATTTGTCTGAATTTCTTTTAGTCTAGAAATTCTAAACAATCTTGTACTAAAAATATAGATGTCAAAGAATAAATAAACAGGAAAACAGTTGAAAAAGCAATACTCTCAGAGCAAATAAAGTTTTCATTTTTTTACATACATACAATATTTCAGGTTTTTTTTACCGTATGAAAGAAGTCCAACTGTAGTCCAACTCAGGGGCTACACAATTTATCCAGAATAATGAGTCAAACATATTCATAACTGCTAAAAATGGAGGTAAAGGAAAAGAATGAAAAGACCTAAATTGACTTTTTTTCTAATTAAATATTTTGAATTAAATGGTATCCTAGAAGAATGATATCCTGAAGACGTTAATAATTGCAGTCCATTATACATAGAGATTATCAGTTATGACTAGTAAAACAGCATATATTCTAATACCTTACATTCTGAATGTAATACAGTACTTTCTTACCGCTTAAATATACAGCTATTAACAGGAAAAGTAGTTTTATTGTGAAGAATGCTGGGAATGGAACTTGAGCCTAGATATGCTTCTAAAATTTTAGAAGTAAAGCCATTTTGGAAATTTTTGTCACAAAATAAAATGTCAGCTACTTTCTTTTTCGCTTACTCTTGGATATTGGTAGGCTGCTCCTAGAATGTTGTGATTTTTGTTTGGTCGTTTTCACACTTCTTTTTCTAAAAGAAAAGGAGACAAATGCCAATTAAAAACTGGATATAATTGGTAGCAATTGAAGATATGATGTATGTGAACTACAAACATAGTATATTCTGCACCATAATCAAAGGATACCCACCCTCTGCCCCCCATCTTTAGCTCACAATTAGCTATCTGTGGAGTAGCATATATGAAAAGAACAAGGGTCTTCTGGATGACATCAGTACTAGTTCCATTTGGGGTTGACAGGGTGGGGAGACAAATTTTTAGGCTCTTAGTTTATGGGTTGATGCTCTTGCTAATAGGAGAGTTAAGTGAAGGCAATGGAGAAAGATCACCTGGCAACATAGGTTAGCTACATATCTTAACCCCTGGTTGGCCCAAGTAACTAGTCTAGGTCTGTGATGGCGAGCCTATGGCACACGTGCCACAGTTGGCATGCAGAGCCATTTGTGCCGGCATGCGAGCTGCAAGCAAACTTACCTCACTGCACATGTGTGTGCCTCACAGCTGATTTTCGGCTGGTTTGGGGCCTGTTCAGCCTGTAGAGGTTGGTTTTCTTCAAGCCTCTGGGAGGCCGAAAAAGGCCTCAAAACAGCGGAAAATCAGCTGTGAGACGCAGTGCAGGTAAGGGGGGGCAGCGGGCGGGGGGAATTGTGCACGCATGCACAGGAGGCATGCACATTGCCTTCTGGGTGCTGGCACACAAGCAGTGAGCACCAGCGCTGTTGCAATATCATGACACATCAGTAGGAAGTCACGTACACAGAAAACCCAATACACATACAATACACATATAGGGCGACACTATAGGAACAGCAACGTGTAAAACGTGAGTTGGCTATAGCATAAGGATTAGCCATATATGGCAATATTCCCTATTCCTGTCTAACTTCCTCATGTGTAACGTAACCCCCCCCTGCTTGCTGCACAATAAAAGAGAGGTGCGTAGTACTATCTGGGCTTCCTCTCACCAAAAGAAACCTTTGTGTCGCTGTCATCTTTGCCATCAAGAGGAGCCCGCCCAGACAGTCTGCCTGGGTGCAGGTCTTGAGCTGACTGATTCATCCCGGCAGTGGGACCCGCAACGCATCAACTGGTGACCCCGACGTGATCGTCTCAACGATACGTCCCCGACAAAGCGTGATTCTTGTCTAGAAATGCGCTTCCTTCACTCCTGTACTACGCACCTGGAATAGGCTCGCGCATCGTAAGTATGGGCTCCTCACTTTCTCAAGTTCAGCTTAAGCATAGGGATGAACTTCTCTCTTTAGTGAAGAAGGCAAATTATTTGCAGAAGGCTAACGGCAAAAATGTATATCCTCTGTCAAAAAAGTATTTGGATGATTTTTTGAGTTATGCTCAACAACACTGCCCCGCGTATCCCGCGGAAGGCACTCTTAAACGTTCCTCTTGGGAATGGATGGGGAAATGGATGCATGAACCACCTAGGGCTCCGCCTCAGATTATTTGTTCTTGGCGTGCCATTATGGCTGCCCTTAATATTCTCTTTCCCGATGATTCTATCCAATCTTCCTCAGACCCACCTTCCGCTGAACTCTGTCCTGTTGCTGCCTTGGCACCTCCACCCTACTCCCCCCCACCCCTTGACTCTTCTCCGAACCCCTCTTCTCTGTTGCCTCCTTCCTCCACGGCGACAGATCCTCCTGTCCGTAATGCCTTTCAATCGGCTTTGGCGGAAGGAAAGCTATCTGCAGATGATCTTTCTTGTTTCCCTATGATTCTTCAAACCCCCGCTGCTGGGGGTAATCCTGTCCCTCATTATACCCCATTGGAGTGGGCTTTGTTAAAGGAATTAAAAACTGCTGCTTCTAAGTATGGCATTCCTGTCGTACAACTCTTCAGACCTCAGCCCAAAAAGCAGAACTAGCGGCCGTCATCTTAGCCTTGGAAAAATTTCCTCACATCCCAATCAATCTTATCTCTGACAGCTTGTATGTCACTCAAGTAGTATTTCACATATATGGCTCTTATCTTTCCCCCTCCGTGGAGACTTCCCTTTTAGCACCTTCCGGGTTACCTCTCCGAGGGAAATGTCAGAGCTGATACTGCTTGCCAACAGGTTTTTGCTGCTCAAACACAACCTGCCCCCTTAACAGCAGGAGAAAGTCATGCTTATTTTCACCAAAATAAAAAGGCTCTGGTCAAACAATTTGGCATTACCATGGCTGAAGCAGTTGCTATCATCCAACAATGCCCCACATGCAGTCTCCAAGCGAAAGCTATCCCTCAAGGGGTTAACCCCAGGGGACTTCAGGCATGTGATACGTGGCAAATGGATGTTACTCAATACCCTCCTTTTGCCCCATGGAAATATCTTCATGTTACCATTGATACTTATTCAGGATTCATATTGGCCACGCCCCAAAGGGGCGAAAATGCAAAACCACTGTATTCGAACCTTTTCAGTGTTGGGATGTCCAAAAATACTAAAAACGGATAATGGACCTGCCTACACAAGCTCTGCTTTTTCGGAGTTTTGCCATCATTGGTCCATTAACCACAAATTTGGAATCCCTTTCAATAGCCAAGGGCAAGCTATTGTAGAAAGGGCAAACCAAACGCTTAAACCCTTGATCGGTACACGGGGTCAAAAGGGATTAGCCCCCCCAACCTCCCGACACTGCAAAATCTGTTAAATGTCTGTTTGTATACTCTTAATTTCCTTAACCTCACTGGAAACCCTCCCTCGTCTGCTGTGTCTCGTCATTTCACTAAACCCTCTCTCCCCACTGCAAGACCACTTGTCTATTACAGGCAACTCCCAGATCCAGCTTGGAAGGGTCCTGCTGAACTTATCACTTGGGGGTGAGGCTACGCTGCAATTCAGTTACCTGAAAAAGTTCTCTGGATTCCTGGTCGCTGTGTGCGCCCTTGCCACACCTCCCCACCTGATCAGCCACAACCCAACGCAGACCCTCTGGATCTCCACTGGCTGAAGCTCCATGATGAATAACTGCCTCCTCTTCTTCACTGCATTATTTTCTTCCTTTTTCCTACAAACGTTGCCTGCAAACCCCCTCAATCTACACCAGCCAGTGAAACAAACTTGGACAATATATGATGCCTACGATCGTGTCTTATTTTCCATCAGCAACACCACTCACCCATACACCTGGTGGCCTACCCTCAAAGCTGACGTCGGACAGATATTGGTAGGCCTCACCGCCTACACCAGCATGACCGAGACACCCACACCTTCTCCGGGATTCGTCCATCGCTATCGATTTTATATTTGCCCCGGACATAAGCAGACTTGCGAGAATATTCACATTTGCGGAGGCCCCGCAGACGCCTTCTGTGCCGCTTGGTCATGTCTCTCCACCGGTTCTATCTCCTGGTCGCCACCGATCAAAGACGATTATGTCTTTGCCTTCCAAAATGGTTCTTGGCATCAAGCTGATTGCCCCTCAGGGGGCATATGGACTCCATGTAATCCCATGTATATTCTGTTTTCAGCGGGAGGGAAAAGGCTGACTACACGGTGGGAGGCGGGTCTTACCTGGGGAATCCGGATTTATGCTGATGGGTACGACTATGGCAATACTTTTACCATAAAACTCATCATTGAGCGGCCCGCTATCCAAGTAGGTCCCAATAGAAACATATCCCTGGTAGAATATCGTCCAGGCCATACAGTTCCCCAACCTTTGCTACGGTTAATAAACTCTAGTTACCTCCTCCTCAATGCCAGCAACCCTGCAATTACCAATGATTGTTGGCTGTGTCTTAACGCAGGCCCCCCTTACTATGAGGCCGTTGGTAGCACCACCAATTTCACTGCCCAAAAATCACCTTCATCTTGTCGTTGGTCACAAGGTACTCAAACCATTGGTAACATTATAGGGACAGGATACTGCCTGGGAAATGTACCTAACACCACAAGTCATCATTGTAACCAGACTTACTTATGGCTCAATGGTATTTCAAGGGCACTTTGGAGTACTGGTGGGAATTTCACTACTGTTTTTCAGAATTTGTATTTTGTTCCGGACAACAATTCATGGTGGGCCTGTGACACTGGCCTCACCGCTTGTGCTCACGGCCCCACCATCACTCAAAGGAATGGTTACTGTGTTCTCGTTTCGATAGTCCCCAAAATAACTTACCACTCCGGCCAAACCTTTCTGCAGGATAACACCAATTTTGCTCGTCCTAAGAGAGAGGTAGTCACCACCCTTACCCTTGCTGTATTAACTAGGACCAGGAGCTACAGGTGCTGCTACGGCAATTGCCGGTCTAGCAGTTAGTAATAATCAATACCAAACTTTGCGTGCTGATATAGACAAAGATCTCGAACTTCTTGAACAGTCTATTTCTCACCTTAAAACATCTCTTACATCCTTATCAGAAGTTCTTTTGCAGAATAGAAGGGGCCTTGATTTGCTGTTTTTAAAAGAAGGAGGGCTATGTGTAGCATTAAAAGAAGAATGTTGTTTCTATGCTGATCATACCATCTTAGTACAAGATTCATTAGATAAACTAAAAGAGCGGTTGGAAATACGCAAAAGGGAAAGGGAAGCAGGTAACACTTGGTATCATAATATGTTTAATTTCTCCCCATGGCTCACAACACTTCTTTCCTCAATTGCCGGACCATTAATATTGCTCTTATTGCTGTGTGCCATGGGCCCTTGTGTATTTGGGAAAATAATGCAATTCCTCAAAAAACGACTGGCCATTATTGATACTGAGATTACCAACATAAACATGCTTGTAAAAATAAGGTCCGAGATCAACACTCCAGCAGAAAAAGGTCTCTACTGGCATTAACTTCGGACTCGGAGGAGAACGAAGATGAATACCCAGAAAAAGGAGACGGCCCTCGCATTCTAATATGCCGGCAGGACTTGGACTCGGAGGAGGACTAGATCTCGCAGCATAAAGAATAAGAGAGGTATCAAAATAATAAAAAACAGAGGAGATGTTGCAATATCATGACACATCAGTAGGAAGTCACGTACACAGAAAACCCAATACACATACAATACACATATAG